CAGATTCTCCTAAAAATGTTTCTAAATATCTTAACATTTCTTCTGAATTATGATCAAAATCTTTTCCTATATAATCATTTACTACAATATTTTTCCAAATATCTATTACTTTATCCCATATTTGAGGACTATGTGCTGTTAAATTTAAAATTTTTCCTGACTCTATTGGTTGTAATTGTATAGGTTTTTCTACTGGATATCTTTTTCCTCTGGGTTTAAATTTATTTTCTCTGGTTTCATCATAACTTCTATAAGGTTGTCTTGGCAAATTTCCTGATCTATAAACTCTAGGTTCTGTATAATTTGTTCCTGATGTACCTGGTATATTACTATCTTGTCCTTCCATAAAATTTAAATCTAATATTTTAAAATCTATTTCTCCTTCACTTTCTTCAAATTCTTGTTCAGATTCTTCTTCATATTTTTCTTGTCCAACGAAATTATTGGTTATTTCTATATTATCATCTATGGATATCATATATTCTTTTTCATATTCTTCTTCTGTTATATCTCTTACTCTAATATTATTATTATTATCTTGATAAATTACTTGTTCTACTTCAATTTTTCTTTCTCTTACTAATTGTTCTTCTAATTCTTTTAATTTTTCTTCTGTTAATTTATCATATCTTGGAATTATTATCTTATCTTCTATTATTTGTTCATCTTTCATTTGTTTTTCTAACATTCTATCTTTTTGTAATAATATTTTTTGTTTTTGTTCTTCAATTTTGTGTTTATATTTATTTGTATAATATTCATATGAATTTTCCATCCTATACATTAATTCATTACTAATTTCTGTTTCTGTATCTTCTTCTTTGTCAACCCCTTGTCTATAATCTAAGAATCTTACATAGGTCTCTCCTCTTCCATCATTATAAAATACTCCATTTTCTGGAATTAGTATATCATTATTTTCTTTATCTTCAAAGAATTTACTAGTGTTCCATTCTAATCCTGCTAATTCTTGGGAAGATATTTCTTTAGGTTTTATCATTTTAATATTTTTACTTGATATATATTCAATTACATCATTTATTTTGATCTTATAATTAATACTTATATTTTGCATAGTTTTTCCTATAAATCCTATCGTAATTACTAAATTACTGCCACTTATAAATTCTTCAAATCCTTTAGTTTGTATTCCTATTTTAATACTTTTACAAAAATCTTCTATAGGTAATGTCATATTAGGAGTGCAATAAAAAAGCCCTACATCACTATTTAAATCTACTTCAGTTAAGGATATTAATGATCTTTGTACATCTTTACCCCATCTTTTATCAAAAAGAGTTACTAGCACTTTACATCCAGTTCTACTTCTTACTAATGGCTTTTTGACCCTTTTGCCCCTAATTAAATAATTAATAACCAATTTGCCCCTCCCCCAGAACTATCCACCATCTTGCCCCCATTTAGTCGATTAAGTTGCACTTTTAATCGACTAAATGGGCTAAACTCAGAAATTATGAAACACGAATTTTAGTCGACTAAAAACTCACCTTAATCGACTAAATTGTTTGCACTTTTAGTCGACTAAGAACATTATTTAGTCGACTAAAGATCGCGAAAAACCCTATATCCAGACCTCTCTTGGCCTCATTTTCATTATATTCGAAATCAAAACTCCTCTCTTGGTCTCTTTCTCTTGTTTGTCAGCTGTGAACCTTCCAATCACCCTTCCGTTTCATCCCACCACCTCTAAGGCATAGTAATTGTGAAATCATTGTCATTTTCCTTTATTTCTCAATTGTTTCCCCCAAATCCGAACCCTAACCCCTAAAATCTGATTCCTACCCCCAAAATTCCTGTGAAAGATGAGCTCAAGTCCAAACATGTATGTTACCATGATTTACTATGATGGAAAGCATTATGAAGGCCCCAACGGTGTTCAATTTGAAGGAAAAACGAAAATGTTGAAAATCAAACGGGGCACTACGTACAATGAGCTGAAGGGGAGGATTAACCAAAAATTGGGGCTACACGACAGCCATGGCGTTCAACGGATGATCGCCAGGGTAGAGTCTACAGTTGGTAAGGATGCTATATTCTACATTGGTAATGATATATGTGACGATGAAGATGTGGACTGTGTCATAGATGCAATTGTGGACCGAAAATTTCAAAACTTTATTGAGATATATGTTGAAATAGATTGTGGTCAATCTTCATATGCACCTGTGCATGGAAGAAGTCAAAGTCAAGAAGACAGAGTGGTCGGTTTATCTGCACCTGCACCTGTCTTAAGTCAGATACCACTGAGGGAAATAGATGAGGATGAGCATGACGAGGATATGGACCGTGAAGACGATGGTGAACCCGAGAGTGTTATTCCGCTGGGTGACACCTCAGATACGGACGTAGAGGGGAATTTCGACGCTGATACTAGTTCAGGATACTAGTCGACTAAATAATGTTCTTAGTCGACTAAAAGTGCAAACAATTTAGTCGATTAAGGTGAGTTTTTAGTCGACTAAAATTCGCGTTTCATAATTTCTGAGTTTAGCCCATTTAGTCGATTAAAAGTGCAACTTAATCGACTAAATGGGGGCAGGATGGTGGATAGTTCTGGGGGAGGGGCAAATTGGTTATTAATTATTTAATTAGGGGCAAAAGGGTCAAAAAGCCTCTTACTAATCCTTTTACTCCTATAATAAATAATCTTGTATGTATATAATTTTTATGAGATTTCTTTAATTGTTCTTTGGCTTTTTTACTCATACAGTCTAAAACTACTACTTGGTCTACTACACATGACACTTGTTCTTCTGAATAATTTCTAAATAGTCCTGTGTTCATAGTGAATCTTCCTACTTCATATAATCTTTTGGGTTCTAATATTTTTAGAGCAGATTCTCTAAATTGTTCTATGTTTTTATCAATATCTATTTCTTCTTCTAATTTTATTTTATCTTTATTTTTAATATTGAATATCTCAAGAGGTGATCTAAAACTAGTACTTTTTCTAGGCTGGTCTATAATTGTTCTGCTAGTTCCAGGAAAAGATGTATTATTCACTTTTATAAACTAAAAAACTGCAAGATTGTTTTTGTTTCTTAGGTCTTGGCTGTATAGGTTTTAATTTTTTATCAAATTCTTCTACAAGATTATCTATATCTATTTCTTGTCTTTTCAATAAATGACCTTCTAAATTTGTTATTCTTTGGTGTAATGTAACTAATAGTTGTATAATTAAATTATTTTGTGCTATTATGGTTTTATCTCCTTTAGATGTTATATCTAAAGTTTTAAAGAAACCTTTATTATAATCTTCCTCTGTATATGCTTTTATTTTTTCTAATTCCTCTCCAAAATTAAAGTTTTTTGACATAAACTAATAATTCTTGTATTAACTGTTCTATTTTTATAATTTTTTCTTCTAAAATCTTTTCTTTATTATTTATTTTTTCTATAAACTGATATATATCTTTTTCTATTGGTTTTGGTTTTCTTTGATCTAAACTTAATATTAATTGTTGAATATCTGTCTTTGTTGGTAAACTTTCTATATCTATCTTATTTATTCTTCTGAGTATTATTTCTTCTGTAGTTTTAATATAATCTAAATTATTATTTATTTCTTTTAATAATTTGTCTATTCTGATTCTGATTCACTTTCAAATAACAACTTATATTCAGACCTAAAATTATTTTCTTCTTCAAACCACTCTCCAAAATTAAAATATCCGTATCCTGCTAAATCAACTTCTTCCAAATATGGTCTTAATATCTGTCTCAGTTCTGATTGTTTATTATGATCAATTATTATAATATCTATTACTGTTTTTAGAAATTTAATATAACTATATTTTAAATAATGATGATTATCACTGTCTAAAAAAGTCTACAATTCTTTGTAATATTGTCCTTCTGTATAATATTTAAATACAAAGACTAATTCTTTTTTAAATCTTTCAAAGGCTATATCTAATATATGCATAAAATTTTAGTCTGAATAATAATAATCTGAATCGTAATAACTTGTAGAAGGTAAACTATGTTCGTTAAACAATACAAATCCTTCTTCTTCGTAAATATTCTGAAAGTAATAATACTCTTCTTCGTTAAATTCTAATTCTTTAAAATTCTTTTTCGAAACAGTCTTTATTAAATGATCTTTAGGATGAGTAGTATCTATGCAATCAACTATAGAACACAAATATTTATAATATCTATATTTTAATGGATCTTCTAAAGTGTTATCTTGTAAAAAGAAAGTTTCTAATTCCCACTCTGATTTTTGTTGTGTTTTTCCATAGAAATGATTTATAATAAATTTTTTGAATTTGATCCAGGAAAATTCTAAACTGATTTGATTTGAAATTTTTATAATGACTTTTATCCTACTCAGTACTCTCCTTTCCACATCCTAAGATTGTTTCCCATGTCTTTTATTATAGTACTTTTTAGTGCCTAGAATGAACCATGCTCTGATACCAAGTTTGTAGGCTTGGGTCGGAGTTGGCCGATTCCAGACTTTTTTTTTTTTTTTTAACTTAGCTAGGCTCTACATCCTATCCGCAAGATTATGTTACTGTTCACTTATCCTAACTACATTTACCATGGACCTTAATCTTTATATTCCCCTGAAAATTATGTGGAACTATGGTCCTAGTCCCAAATACTCCCTTCTAATTTACTCCTTTTTTAAAATGGACATTATCTCATCTGGTCATAAAGTTATATATGTCTGCCGGATCAAGATCACCTTTTATTTAATATAAGGGGAATGATTTATTTATAAAATTTTTTTACAAATTTTTGCAAATTACACTGTGTATTCCCCGTCCCCGAAAGTACATAGTATAACCTAGTGTATTTTCGAAAGTACATAGTGTAGTTTGTAAATATAACCCTCCCTTAATATAATAATATATTTGCTATAAATTGCATAAATTTTTCTGCATACATTTATAGTTCCTTCCTCCCATCACTCTAATAACTAGTTACATATCATCAAGGTAGATTCAAGGTTCTTGCGGGATCATGATTATTCAGATGGCAAGCACGAGATCCGGTAACGACCCTTGAACCCGAGCCCAAGGAGTGCTCCGCCATAGCCGTGCCTCATCACCATCCTCAGAGACACGAAGCACCACCGTGAGCAAGGTGTTGAAATACTCACGCAGCTGAGCAATAATCCCCTCCTTGACACTCCACACGTGCACCCAGTACTCCTCCATCCCTTCCCGCCCTTCAACAATCACACGGTCACCAATGGCCCTGATTCTCCGTGGCCTAAACTTGAAACCCTTATGCGTTGACTCACCGGTCAACATCTTCATCATGTGATGGCAATGAGGAGGTCCATGATACCACCATTCCAACTCTTTCCCTACCACCTTCTCTAGCTTCTCCATGTCACCACCACGTAATGCCTTGTACACCATTTTCACCATCTTCCGGTTGCGGTTTTCGTGCTCCATCACCGACGGGGACACGCCGGAGACTTTCTCTGGCTCAATCTTGCCGGGACTGATCTTCATGCTAGAAGAAAGGTCGTAAGCCAAGCTATATATAGAGGGTTATGCTTCATTAGAATTTAGGTTATGAAGGTAGGGTTTCTTATGATACATTGATTAATTTTTGTATATTGCTTATGCATATATATATATAATAAGTTTTTTTGTATGATATTCTATGTTGCATTGACACTGACTCGGGATACGGGACATGACACGATACTCCAACCTATTAATTTTAAAAAATATTAGATTTTGAGATATTAGGACACGTTTTGATATTAAATAATATTTTTAATTTATATAGTGTATATTATATTCAATATTTAATAATTTAACAAAAAATAAGTTAAACTTATAATATCCATCAATTTTGCAAAGAAACATACGATATCACAAATATTTATATTTAACTCATTAAAATGGTAATTGTAATTCAACGAATAGAATAGTTAGAACTAAAAATGCAATGCACCTTTGAATCTTTTTGAGTTTCTGCAACACGTGTTGGAGTGTTGGGGAGTGTCGAGAAGTGTCGAGAAGTGTCAAATACAACACGTCAAAATTTTTAAAGTGTCGGTATGTAAGAACATGTTGAAAATATAATGTGAGCAATCCCATGGTTTGGGCAAAAATGATGGAGATGTTTTGAATTTGGAGAGATGGGACCGGGCATGAAAGGTAAGCTTCGATATATCATAGGCGAAATTATTCATTTACTACAGTTTCGTGCACTAGATACTGTGTATATAATAATAAATTTGTATAAACAATAATGCGAAGGTGACTTTTGGTGATGTTACAACGATTGTGGTGGTCTAATTCGAAGTTTGTGTAATGTGTAAAGTATAACTGGGCATAGATTTTCATTCCAATATAGATTCGGGGTCGGGATACTGTGTATAAAATAATAAAGTTGTTAAAATTATGGAAATGCAGGCGTATATAGTAATGAGTTCAGAAATATGCCAAAGAGTGGCACAGTGTGATTCTAGTACCGAACAAAGACAAAGCTAGTATATTTCCAAAAGAAAAAAAGAAGACAAAACTAGTAGCACGTGGCTATTTTGAGGATTCTATAATATACAGAGTAAATACTCTTTTTTGTTCTCAGCAAATTTCACGATACTCGTTTTAGTCCCTAGCAAATAAAAAGGTCCATCGTCGTCTCTAAGAAATTCAAAATGGACTCATTTAGTTGAAATTGTGGTCCCTCACAAATTTAAAAAAGACCCATATTAGTCCTAAAAGGACTAAAATAGGTTCATTTTGAATTTCTTAAGGACCACGATGAGCTTTTTTATTTGCTAGGAACTAAAGCAGACATCGTGAAATTTGCTGAGGACAAAAATGGTATTTACTCTAATATATATAACAGTGGACTTTGAATCTCTTAATTTTTTTAGTTTCGGTAGCATTAGAAAAGATGTTTGTTTGTTTTTTTTTTTCTTCTTCTAAAAATTGATAATTAACGTCATTAAATTGGAAAAAAAATAAACCATGCTAGAGATCCAAAAATCTTACGTCAATAAAGATAGGTGAAATCAGTGATAGCCCTATAAAAAAAATTAATAAAGGAATATTGTGGTAAAATAATAATGGCTTGAGATGTTCATGATGATCAATATTATCAAATAGTCAATAAGACAAAAAATTATTTTTTTAAAAACAACCACTTATACTGTAGTATACTATATATTTATTTATAGGATTAATATTGTTCATCTTGTAGAAAATAAAATTATTTTCTACACACACATAAAAATGTGTGTGACCCATGTAGGACCATGTGAAGGGAAAAGAGAAAAAAAAATATAGATTTCACACACTTTTATATATGTATATAAGATAATTGCATTTCTTTTAATCTTATCTTATTTTTTTGGAAATATACCAATTCGGAATGGGTTCAGGATTAAGGCTTTAAACCCCTTCCAAAGGTGGTACTGAGAGATTCGAACACATGCTCTCACCCCATCTGCTTAACTCACATACGCCAACTGAACTACCACTATTTGATTTTTAATGTTATCTTTAATCCGCTTATTTATACTAATTTTCAATATCCATAAAACTCATCCTAAATAATTATTTGGTCCGATCTCAACGATTTGACACTGTGAGGTGCAGGCTCTCGAAGAAGGGGCTAGGCCCGCTTTCAAATATGAGCTCCTGGAAAAGAAAAATGGTTAAGACAAATAAAAGCCCAAAACTTGGTAAGAATGAAAAGAAGCCAGAAAACAAATGAAGCCCAAAACTGATAAGATACATCAATAGTATACATTATTAAAAATAGAGCAGCAAATTATCAACGACCCAAAATCCATGTGAAAACAAAGGAAGAGAATGAAAAATTCAGGCTAAAAGGGGCTCGTGGGACATAAATTCCTAGACAGACTTTGGAAAATGGAAAATGGAAAACAAGTAATCCAAAAGAGAAAGTTGTTCCCTATGTAATTTTTGTTTTCAATCACTCGAACCCAAAAGAGCATCTAGCTAAGTTAAAATGCCATGGCCAATTTTTATGATCACGCAGGCATGGTTGACCTCTCTCATATGGTGCAGGCCTAAGTTTTCATTTTTCTTCTATTTACATATTTTTTGAATTTGTATGAATAAGAAGTTTTGCATCAAATCTTAATTATTGATTTTATTTACTTGTAATTTAATTTGGGAGTTGGGTTGATCTTGACCGCCATGCAGTTTCTGGAAGAAGATTTGGTTAGATTTTGTTTAGTAGATAGATTAGGTCAGATATTAGGTAGGATCCTTTGACATCGGTGTCAAATTTAAAATTTGACACCTCATCTGAGAGTTATTAGATCAAAAAAAATCAATGGTGTCACATGCTTACAAATCAGAGCCATTGATCTTTTTTTATCTAACGGCTCTCAGATGAGGTGTCAAATTTCAAATTTGACACCAATGTCAAAGCATCCTGCTTCCCGATATTAATATTGAGACATAAATTGCAGGGAACGCTCTCGCTTGACACGATTAGGATTTCATAGAATTAAATATCATTTTGTGCAAATCAAATTCTAACGAAAATCTACTAGGATATAACAAAACAGAGGGCACCATCTAAGTGCTCTCTCAATTTCCCACAAGTCATTCTGCTTTAAATTCTTACTTTTATTTAATTATTGTGTTCGAAATATATATTAATCTTAATTCAATTTAACTTGTTTCTTTCACCTCAAATTTTGTGTTAACCTATTTTACGTAATTGAAGTTGTGCTCTATTCTATGGGCTACGCCAGCACGAGACTAACTAACCATTAATTTGACTATCGCTATCTGAACCGACGTTTCCAATTGAGCTCCAGCATGGATTTTAGTGTTGTTATGTTAAGCAGGGCACATGCATAAAAATTGGAAGAGTTAAGTTGAACTATTATATATAGGAAGACTGGCTTCATATTTGAAGACATTAAGAATGGGAAAACACCCCAATAATAGTGATGCATAATTAAATATAATTGATACTGATATTGAATAATAACATTAGGGTATGAAATGAGTTTCGCACAATTCAGTTTGATGATTGATATACCAATTTTTTTCTCCTTATATCTTTTTAATAATTATCATTCCCAATACATCAATTATTGAAAAGTGTACTTATTTGTTTACCAAAAAAATAAAACAAGTCTACTTAATTTACGCCAGAGAAAAACCAAAATAACAAAAGTATTAATATGATAGTATTTCCACAAAGTATGATGACTATTTCTTAATGTAATTATCATTAAAATTATTAAATCACGATTGTTGACCGAATTATATCACATTTTCTACAACGCAGCCAACAATTGTTTTTCTAAATTATTTCGCTCTTATTTTTTTGTTAACTTTTTAATTTATGGAGAGCTAAATGTTTAAAGAATTACCTTTATGGAGTATGTCTAATTTTTTTTTTCTTTAGTATACAATAAATAAGAAATTAACAATTATCTTTTAAACTTTTTACTCTCCTCTTTCGAAAATAGCTTAAACACGTAGCTAGCTACGTATGTTCTGATGAAAACCCAATCGAACAAAATTTCTTTTATATTTTCCTCTTCTTCTTTTATATATTTCCATTCTCATTTATTGCATCTTTTTTAAATAGCAACAGCTAAACATAAATTTGCATTCTCATTTGCATTTTCAGCTAATGGATTTTAAACAGAAATTATTATTACTTAGAAGTTATTAATACAGAATAAAATTATTAACTAATTTCTGAAAATATATTGTGTGCACTACGTACTCTACCGAATACAAACAAATAATTATAAATAATTTCATCAAAAAAATAATGAATTTAATATTTTTCATTTTATAGGAGATAAATTTCTAATTTATCCTCTATATATATAAAAGTATGTAAGGTTCATGTTTTCTTTTTCTTTTTTTTTCTCATATGAACCTCACATACTTTTAATTTTGTGTGTGTAGGAGATAAATTTATCTCCTATAACATAAGAAATATTTATTTATTTTTAGTATAACATAAGAAATATTTAACCCTTATGTTAATTTAATTATTTTGTGAAACAAACTTTTAGTTATCTAAAAGTCTTTTGTTTTAAAAGAAAATGCAACACAGCACATCTTTTAAGCAAATAATTTTTAAAAGAGAAAATTGTTTTGCATTAACTACATAAACCTTTTTGCAGTTGCTCTCACATCATTTTACTTAAATAAAATCATTTTTGTATTAAGTAAAAGGTTCATTTTTGTATCTAAAATAATGTTATTTTGAAACAAAAATTAAAGTATTTTTATAATTATTTATTTCAAGATTATAATAAATTTTTTTATTATAATTTTTAATGTAACAATTTAAAATAATATTATTTTAAAAATAAATATAAATAATTTATTTATGTTCATTATAGAAATATTAAAAAGTTTATGTAAATAATTTTACGTATTATCTGTTTTTTAAATAGTGGATACCGAAAATCTGCAACCGATACAAATTAACAACTTCTTTGTCGATTGCAGATTTTCGACAGAAAAATTAAATTCTTTAT